CAAGATTGGCTCCATTATTATCAAATAATGGAGGCATATAATTTGGACAAAAAAGTTGGTTTCCAGGTGGAAAAATCAAAATTGGAAACAGAATTGTTAGATTCAAAAATTAAGAATTTGTCAAAAATGTATAACTTGCTGTTGAAATGGAACACTCAGGATGAAACGGTGAAATCAGCTATGATTAAATGGGCACAAGATGTTGAACATAACATAATGATGGCTGACTGGGAACAGTTATGGACCACAGTTATGAAATTTATGGCATGCAATGCCTTAAGAGAAAATTTAATGAAAATGATTTATAGGTGGTACATGACACCAGTCAAGCTTGCAAAAATTTATCATTTGCCCGACAATAAATGCTGGAAATGTAATGAGACTGAAGGTAAATTCTTTCACCTTGGTGGACATGCCCAAGGATAAAGACATTCTGGGAGATGATTTATAATGAAATGAAAAAGGTATTCAAATATACCTTCATGAAGAAACCAGAGGCCTTTCTTCTGGGCATGGTCGGCCAATTGGTGCCAAAGAAGGATAGAACGTTTTTTATGTATGCTACATCAGCAGCAAGAATACTCATCACGAAGTATTGGAAGATACAAGATTTGCCCACCCGGGAAGAATGGCAGATGAAGTTGATGGACTACATGGAACTGGCGGAAATGACTGGCAGTATCTGAGACCAGGGAGAGGAGTCGGTGGAAGAAGACTGGAAAAAGTTCAAAGACTATTTACAGAAATATTGTAAAATAAATGAATGTTAGAAAAATGTTGAAATGAACTTATATGGCTTTAGCAGAAATATTATAAGGAATTAAGTACAGATAGGTCAATAGAGTATTAAAGAGAGAAATAAGGTTAGAATGAGTTAAGACAATTATAGGACAGAAAACAGAGGACGATGGAAAGGAATTGCTGAAACAATTAATAGAAGTGGAATACAAAAAAAGGGAGGTGTGAGGAGGTCGTGGAAATAAGAGAATGAAAGATGGATAATGAAATTGGTTGAAATTTGTTGTTGTTGTTTTGTATTGTTAATTTAATGTATTGTATTTTCTTTTTTTACTGTTTAAGTTTTTAGAAAAATAATAAATATTATTTTTTAAAAAAAAGAAAGAAAGGGGGAGATGATGGGAATTTCTGCTTCTGCACGTCTGGCAAACCACTCAAGCTGAGGCATTTCTTCATTCATCCCCCCTAGAATGTTTAGTTCACATTGAGTTCATGAGACATCATATCCTGACCCGTTCTTAATGCATGGTTGACCACATCTACGGAATGCGATTGTTCTGTTCTTCTAAGCTTTGCAATATTAATCACTAGTAATAGTTTAATAAGGAGGTTTTCATACCTGTCCAACTATGTGTTCCCTTTCCCAACCTTTAATCTATTGATGATTAATGCCTATATGCAACCCTTGCATTGTATTTGTGTTAACCAATCAGCAACAAGCACATATGTGGCAATGCTGTAATATTCAATAAAAGGGACATCCCGAGACATGCTCGGCGGATGCCTCCCATATGACACTCGTCATTTGTCTGTCGTTTATTTCAACCCAACAACACCGAACACAACATGTTGCAATAAAAGAAAAAAACTCCAACCCTCATTGGAACTAAAACTTTTCAAAAGTTATTAAGTCACCGTACAATTATCCAAATCACTATAATTTGTCCACCTTGTCAGAACACCAGAGGCATAAGAAAACTGTCAATAAACAGCCATGAAAGGGATTATAATGATTAATCTCTGTATCATGAGGAGATAGGGATAGTATCAAGAGGTAGCCATGGCTCCCTATTTTCTTTCTCCCATTTTGTATGTTCATCATATTATTGGTCTGCCTTGAAATCTGAGTGTTGAGCATTGGAAATCTCACCTAGCATCCAAAGCGTGTGTTTATACTGCTTTGATTTTTAAATAAGGTGTGCCAATCTCTCTTGTTGTGCTCTATTGACAGAGCCAGGTATCGTTCAATCTAGTTTGCTTAAGTCATTCTGCAGGGACTGATAGGCAAAGAGCATCCAAGATTTCAGGGAGGCTTGCCTACAAGGATGCTTTGGTCATTCACTTTGCTTTTTCTGCTGCCTCCTGTTGTGTGCAAAGCAGGGATGAGGTGCCCTGAGACTGATACATTTCCTGTTCCGCATGAGTGGTACCAGTCAGGTAGCCTCATCATTGGTGGGATTGCCTCTCAGTTCTATTATTCCATCATTGAAGAATGCTTCATTGAAAATCCTTCACAGAATCTGTTTGATAATAATCCACAGTAAGAGACTCTCCCTCCTCTTTCATTTTTGGGATTAAGCCTTCCAGTGTTTGTTTGTTTGTTTGTTTAGTATTGTGTATTCTCCTAAAATGACCGGCAGTAAATAATTGCTTTGCTCTCTGTGATAATAGGGTTACTGCTGTGCATGTTCTTGGGGCACCTAATCTGAAAGTGTCCAATCTTCCTAGAAAAAATGCCATGAATCAGACACTGTTTGAGTCTCCATTGTGAGATATTGACCTCATGGTTTGAGAGTTGCTTTGTGAGATATAAACCGGTTTCAATATATTTCATTCATCTATGTGACACCTGGCACTGGCTGATAAGTGAAATAGAGAAATCTAGAAATTTTAACAAAATGTAGTGTGTGTTGGGAGTCTGTTAAACTGATTGTAGCAACAGTAAGTTGATGGGAGATTAATCCAAGCCTTGGGTGATTAAAAAAAAGGTATGAGCTTTGCTCTTGTTAGCATGAAGTATAAATAATAAATCATCAAAAAATACTATTAGAGCGTGCTACTTGCAATTATTTACATGCACTAATATGGAGGTTTTCTTCATTCTAATATGCAAAATTCCTATTTTTTGTTCGAATTAAAATACTTCAATGACATGAACTTGTATTCCAAAACTTTTGTCTTTCCAATTCCTTGAACTCCAAATGCAAGCTTCAAAATTGTTTGAACCCTGTGGAGATTTTGTGGCTTAAGAACACAGTCATTAAATTAGTGAAATATGGAGCAATATGCTCTGTATGCATTTCTGACCATGGTATAGTGATAGAGAAGTGAAGATAAGTTTAAAGGAGTTAGTTTATTCTTCTATGAGGTTTAGAATTGAATATATTTGATAGTGGTGATGGAAAGAAACTTAACATTGTGATGAAGAGAAAACATTTCACCCCATTTTTCTATACCTGTCTTACATAGAAGAGGTGACTTCTGGTATATTAGAAGTGAATGATTGCACCTAAACCAAGTCTGCAATCTTATACAAAAATAACTTGGAAGTTATCCTCATTGAACTCATTTGCACTTGCATTTGAGTAGAAAGGTATTGGATCACACTGTGGCAGGTTGGTTCTGATCAGTTCTTTTTAAAAACAATGTAGCTTTTAAAGTAATCATTAACTTGTCTTATTAAAGTGATAACTATTTTTAAAACAAATGCATAGTGCAATCCTATAAATGAATACCAGAAACTGCCTTGTATAAGGATGGTAGTAACTGTAACTAATTCAATGAAATATTGTTGCTTTCCTGGTCTAGATGCATAGAATAATCACCTTCATGTCTATTTGGAGCAGAAAGAGAAAGAGTTGGATGTTGCAGTCTTTTGGCGGGCGGTGGGGGGTGGATAGTAAAGACCAAACAAGAGCTAACTAAATGGTGGTAAAAGAAATATAGAAATGGCATGATGAGTAATACATTTTATTTGGGCTGAAGAGTTTGATATTTATTATTTTAAGACCACCATAAAAGATAAGAAGGTCATAGTTCAATATGTATCAGTTTAAGACAGAACGGCAATTTGTTTTGTCTACTTCCTGAATTGTAGAATTCTCCTCTGAAATTTTAAACTAACCTCATTTGCAGCATGATAACAAAATTCTACCAGCACACCCTGGCCTTGGCATTTGCTGTAAAAGTGATAAATGAGAATCCCAGCCTCTTGCCCAATGTCACACTGGGGTTCCACATCTATGACAGCTATTATGATGCAAGGATGACCTATCGTAACACCATGGACCTGCTCTTTAAAATGTATAGATTTGCTCCCAACTACAAATGTGACTTGCAGAAAAACCTCATAGCCATAATCGGAGGACTTAACTTTGATACCTCCTTCCATATGGCTGATACCTTAAGCCTCTACAAGATTCCACAGGTAGGTTTTATCAGTAAAAGGTAAAAGGTACCCCTGACTTAGGATCAGTCTCGCATGAGTCTGGGGTTGCATGCTCATCTCGCTCTATAGGCCGAGCGAGCCGGCGTTTGTCCACAGACAGCTTCCAGGTCACGTGGCCAGCATGACTAAGCTGCTTCTGGCGAACCAGAGCACCACACGGAAATGCCGTTTACCTTCCTGCCGGAGCAGTACCTATTTATCTACTTGCAGTTTGACGTGCTTTCGAACTGCTAGGTGGGCAAGAGCAGGGACTGAACAATGGGAGCTCACCCTGATGTGGAGATTTGAACTGCCGACCTTCTGATTGGCAAGCCCTAGGCTCTGTGGTTTGGACCACAGTGCCACCTGCATCCAGGTTCTGATTACTTCTTAGGTTTTATGAGTAGGGTCATAAATTTTTGTTCCACAAATCACACTCTTCTCTTATCATTCTGAAAGTGATTTTGAGATTCAGAAAGTAAACATGACTGATGCTGAAGCATTGCAAGCTGGAATCTCTGTAAAAAATGTAGATTACTCCTTACCAGCAGATATTGCTACACCAGTGAAACTCTGAGTCAAACAGGCAGCAGGTAGCACCTTGGACACTTCCAATACCACCAACCTGTTCCACACAACAACTGCAAGAGAAGTTGTCTCTGCAAGGAGGCCAGGTTGACCTGAAGACTTACAAAGCTGACCATAGGCCCTGCCTCATTGGAGAGTCTGGGTAACGGAGTCTGGGTAACGGATTAATTTATTTTGCACTATTGGTCATTTGCAGGGCTAGAGAGGTGCTGTATAATATTGATAATGTCTGTTCTTTTCCTGTTAGCTTGCATATGGCTCATTCCCCCAAGAGGAGAGTGATATAGATAACTTCCTTTCCTTTTACCGCATGGTGCCCAATGAAGTGCATCAGTATATGGCAATTATCAGTTTGCTTCGGCATTTTGGATGGACATGGACTGGACTCTTTGTTACAGATGATGACGGAGGAGAAAATTTCCTGCAGGCCCTGGAGCCCATGCTTTACCAGCATGGGATCTGTTCAGCCTTCACACAAAGAATGGAAAAAATAGCTCGTTTTGATATGGTGGGTGAAATTTTTGATATGCTTGATAGGTATTACGTGGGTGTCACAAATGATAAAGCCAATGCATTCATTGTCTATGGAGATTCTCTGACATTGACCTGGTTAAGGTCCGTTATGTATCTACGAGATCCTGAAAATAAGGAAAGTGCATCATTTAGAAAGGTTTGGATCATGACAACACCAATTGATTTCGTATTATTGAGTTTTCAAAAGTCTTGGGATCTTGAGCTCTTTCAAGGTGCCATTTCCTTCACCATACACTCCAAAAAAGTTCTCAAGTTCAATGAATTTCTTCAGATCATAAAACCTTATTGGAATCCAGACGATAGTTTTCTCAAGGACTTCTGGGAGCAAGCATTTGACTGTCCATTTCCAGATCTGCTCATGCAAGATATTGAAACATGTACAGGGGAGGAGAAGTTAGAGTGTCTTCCTGGGCATGTGTTTGAAATGGACATGACTGGCCACAGCTACAGTATCCACAACGCTGTCTATGTTGTCGCTCATGCTTTGCATGCTCTTTATTCATACAGATCAAAGCAAAGAGCAATGGTGGGAGGCAAAAGGTTTGAACTTCAAGATCTGCAGCCCTGGCAGGTAAGCTGCTGCAAACAAAATATTATTTCAGTGAGTGAATTTCTCTGAGGCAAGACATCACGTGATAACATTTTGTGATTGTGATTATTTCCTATATATATTTTGTATGTACAGAATTTTTGCCTTCTGTTGCTTTGTCATAACTTTTCCATCTGCTATATGAATTTAGCCCATTGTTGATATTTGGCCTTCATTCTAGATATATATATTCCTTCTTTTCCCTTTTTCTGTTTGAATCAGCTGCACCATTTTCTGCAAGGCATTTCATTCAACAACTCAGCAGGTGAAACAATGTCCTTTAATGAAAAAAGAGAACTGAGAGGTGGATTTGACATCACAAACATGATCACATTTCCAAACAAGTCTTTCCTTCAAATGAAAGTTGGACGAGTTGATCCTGATACTCTTGAAGGAGAAGCATTCATTTTTCATGAAGATATGCTTGTATGGCACAGAGGTTTTAATCAGGTCTGCAGTTTATGAATCCTTCTGTTCCTCACTGGTCTTATGACGTGTTCTTTAGGTGTTGGAAATTCCATTTTCTTTAAAACTGTTGTTTCTATCTAATATGGCAAAGGAAAAATGTGGCTGCCTAGCGCATTAAAAATTGATAACAGGGGGAAAAACATTACATTTTTGTAGAACTATATCTTCCATATACATAAAGCAAAGCCTTGGCATACATAAATGAAATTACTACATAGGCGCCCATTCGGTAACCTCTTTTCTTATTGCATGGAGACAATAACTCAGTAATAGAACACGTACTGCATGCAAAAGTTCCCAGGTTCAATCCATTGCATCTCCAGGCAGGGTTAAAATGAAGTCCTGTTGAGCTGTTTTTCAATTGTTTTCCAGCATTTTGCAGAACAAACTTAACATTTCGGAGAGCCCTTGAACTGTATGGTTGACCTGACAAACTTAGTGCCCTACTGGTCACCCCTCTCCATTAATGCAAAACTTTGGCACAGGTTTGGTTTGAATTGAAGAATATTGGAATGGGGGTGACCAGCATTGCACCTTGTTGCAGAAGTTCGACAATATTTTGGGACACTTCAAAATGTGGGGATTTCGCTGCAAAATGATTGCAAAGTTTGTCATAGGTTTGGAGGGAATCCCAAATAACGAGATTCATAGTTAACACAACTGCATAATGCAGCTCTTTTATATTAAACCTTTATTTGCTGAGTAGTGAATAAACAATCAGTTTTTCTGATCTTCTGAACGGCTTTCCTGCTATGGATAGGTGATTCCCCTTTCTCTGTGTAATGACCACTGCCACCCTGGCAATCAGAAGAAGAAAAAAGAAGGAGAAAAGTTTTGCTGCTATGGTTGTGCTCCTTGTTCAGAAGGGGAAATTTCAAACCAGGATGGTAAGTCATGCAGCGCTCATATTTTTCTTCCTCTACGGACAGTAGCAAGGCTAGATGGTAGCATTTCAGGGGGTTATTTTAGAGCAAAAAGCAAGAAAGGAGCAACATGATAAAAATGATTAAAATTCTTCAATGCATGGGAAAATACGATAAACAGAAAACTAGAGCTCGTGGGCTCTTTGGAAATTGAGTGCTGGATGATTCAGAACAGGCTAAAGAAAATTAACTGCTTCATGAAGTTCGTGATTTAACCATGGAATTCATTCCTACAAGATGCAGTTGGAAGCAATCACTTGAAAGCCTTAAAAGGAGGATAAGACAAAGTCATGGAGGACAAGGCTATTAATGGCTATGACCTCTGATGGCTTTGCTGTGCCTCCATCATCAGAGACTGAAATCTTCAAAATACCAGTTGCTGGAAAGTGTGGGCATTGGGGGAGACTTCTGTTTCACTCAGGTCCTGCTTTCAGGCTTCCCATAGGCATCTGGTTGGCCACTGTGAAATCAGGAATCTAAATAAGATGTCCTGATGTAGCAGGCACTTATGTTCGTATGTGAAACAGAAAGGCAGTTAGAAGGATTTCAACACAGATATTATAAACTTAGCACACAAATGATTTTAATAAGCCTAAAAAATACACTGAGTTTAAAACACTCATATATGAACACTGAGAAATATGGAACCAATAGGTTTCATTTCATGCCAGCAAAGAAGCAATATAGAAGGTAAAATACTGTTGAAAAGTATAATAGCTTTCAGAATAAGTGAGATCAAAGCATTTATACTGGAGCACTAAAATACATGCATATCAATACGTATAATTTCATGTCAGTGAAGCAATCACATAGCAGACAAAGTGCTCTTCAACCAGTATTTAAATTTGACATTGTTTATTTTTCAGATATGAATGACTGCTTCAGATGCCCCAAAACTCAGTATCCTAACAAGAACAAAACTGCCTGCATTGAAAAAACGATGACCTTTCTTTCTTATGAAGAACCTTTAGGGATCAGTTTAGCATCAGTTGCCCTTTCTTTCTTTTTCGTCACAGCTTTGGTGCTAGGAACATTCATTAAGTACAAAGACACTCCCATAGTCAAAGCCAACAATCGGGACCTCACCTACTCTCTCCTTGTCTCTCTCCTGCTCTGCTTCCTCTCTTCCTTGTTATTCCTGGGTGAACCTACCAAAGTCTCCTGCCTCCTCCGGCAACCAACATTTGGCATCATCTTCTCTGTAGCCGTTTCTTGTGTGCTGGCCAAAACTATCACTGTAGTTGTAGCTTTCATGGCCACCAAGCCAGGGTCCAGCATAAGGAAGTGGGTAGGGAAAAGACTGGCCTACTCAGTTGTGATTCCCTGTTCTCTTATTCAATCAACTATCTGTACTGTGTGGTTGATGACATGTCCCCCATTCCCTGATCTGGACATGCACTCTTCAACAGAAGAAATCATTGTGCAATGTAATGAAGGGTCAGTCACCATGTTTTATTGTGTCCTGGGCTACATGGGCCTCTTGGCCATTGCCAGCTTTGTTGCCGCATTTGCAGCCCGCAAGTTACCTGACAGTTTTAATGAAGCCAAGTTCATTACCTTCAGCATGTTGCTCTTTTGCAGTGTTTGGCTGTCTTTTTTTCCAGCCTACCTGAGCACAAGTGGAAAATACATGGTGGCTGTGGAGATCTTCTCCATCTTGTCCTCCAGTGCTGGGTTATTGGGCTGCATCTTTGCCCCTAAATGCTACATCATTATTCTGAGGCCAGAACTGAACAACAGGGAGCAACTTATAAGAAAAAAGAATTAAACAGGTTTTTCTTCCTTCGCTCTGGTAAATTTTAAATATGTGATAGTTAAGAGTGGAAGACCAAATTCTCTCTCTCTGTGTATATATTCCAGTAGCCAACGTACCTAAGATCACTTTTTTGCCATTTGTTTATATTTTCTATACACAGGTCCCACTATCCAAATGCCTTTTATATGAAAAATCTCTTATTCTAACATGTGTAATTAGTACCCAAACCTTGTTATATGGACCACAGACTCAGATATCCCAACAGCTGAATGTGTGTTTAGTAAACAAGCTGACCTTCCTTCCATGTATGCCTTTTGGAAGGCTTTAGAGTGTTTTCATGGGGTTTTCACACTTTGAGGGTCAACATTTTGAGGTCAAAAACACATTAGAATGTTCTCATAGGTATTAATGGAAACTGTTGGCTCCTTAGGGAAACGCACACCTAACAAACAATTTTCTGAGAATGTATTTTGTTGAAACAGTGAGATCTGTAAGTAGACAAATACAATAGCTTAGGAGTGTCAGATATCACAGCTATATCTGAGTTCCCTGTGGAATAGCCTCCCTTCAGCTGTAAAGGAGTTAAGAATTGCACAACTTTTAGAATGCATCTGATTGCGGCCCTGTATCGGGAGGTTTTTAATGCTTGATGTTTTTATTATGATTTTAGATATGCTGTAAGCTGTCCAGAGCGGTTGGGGAAACCCAGCAAGATGGGTGGGGTATAAATAAAATAATGATGATGGTGATGATGATGATGATGATGATGATGATGATGATGATGATGATGATGATGATAAGGCTTTAGACCAGTTCAAGGTTACTTTTAAACTTCTTTTTTGGAATAAACATTTGTAATTGTGTTGATATAGATCATGAAACCTTTTATAATTACAGATGCCACATCATTTTCTTCTTGGTATGTTTTTATTATGGACTTAGTACATCACATAGCTGTATCCTATATTTCTTTATTGCCATTTTGACAGCTTATTTTTCCCCATTTTCTTTTAAAACTAATTTCTTTTTTCTTTTTTTCCTATGTAACCTGTGTCTAGTTACTCAAATTTAATAAAATATTTTTTGGGGAAAACACACACTCTGGAATGTGAATAATTTATTTTAATTAAGCATTAATCATGTCCCAAAATTTATTCAGGAGTGCAGCTGGGATGGGGTGTGATTTGTCCCCCACTTTGATTCATGGTGGACCAACCTGATGCCCCCATATCTGAGCTCTTAGGCTGATGGGGTTGAAAGTTGTGCAAAGCCATAATATGTATATATACAATCCATTATGGTTGTGGTTCAGACTAGAGTTCCAGTCCCCATGCAGTCATGAAGCTCACTCTATATCAGAGCTTTCCAAACTTTTCACATTGGTGACACACTTTTTAAACATGCATAATTTTTTGACATAATAATTAAATTTTACTTGCAAACCAGAGGTTAAACTAACCCCTTTCCAGCCCAGGGTGGGTGGGTGGGAGTGTTGGGTGACACACCTGCACACTGCAGCCAAATAACTAACCTGTCATGACACAAAGTTTAGAAAGCCCTGTTCTATGTCCTAGAGCTAGCTGCTTTCTCTCTCTCAGCCTACCCTACCTCATCAGGTTGTTGTAAACATGTGGATAGGAAGAATCATGTACATCATCTTGCTCAGAGTATGGTGCTGATAACTCCAAGGTTACAGATATGATCCCTGTAAGGGACAGATGCATATTCCTTCATTTCAGGGGTTTGACTAGATGGTTCTCAGGGTCCCTTCCAACTCTATGATTCTGTGACTCTCTCTCTCTCTCTCTCTCGCTATATATATATAATCAGTTTGA